CCGTGTCGTCAGCAGGCGAAGGACCCCCCAGAGGAACGGCACCGAGGATGGGGCCGAAGGCTGATGCAATCACCCAGGGTCCTGCTCACCCCGAGCCCTTGCCTTCGTTACCGCAATTAAGAGCTTCCCGGCTTGAATAAATTCCTCTGCTGAGGACAAATCTTACGTCTATGGAGGCTGTTACCCTGCGCCTGCTTAATTGGGAATTAGGCAGCCTGGAGCCCGAGAGCCGTGACCTCTTGTCGTCCCCTCCGGCTTGCTTCGAAATCTGTCACTTAGCGTGGCCGCGGTGGCCGGCGGCGAGGGCAGCCAGGTCCTCGTCACCCACCCGGGGTCAGGCAGCCGGTGAGTCCTGGTCCCTGGGGACAAGCCGGGCGCTGGGGTCCGTGGTAATGGGTTGGGAATGGGGCTCAGCATCCACCGTGTGATGTCCCCACGGCTCAACCCCACTGCGGCGTGGGGGGGCAGGGGGAAACCACCATCCAGGAGCCCCTACGGCCAGTTTTGGGGTGCCCGGACCCCCATGGGCAGGGTTGGGATGCATCTCGGGGAGACAAGTGTGAAAAAAAATCCCCCAATTATCAGCTCCTGGTGCTTTTTGGGACCTTGACACCCCGATGCCGAGGCTCCCGTCAGCCTGGAGCATCATCCTGGCTCAGCCACGTGTCCCCATTGCTGCAGGAGAGGTTGGGGTTCACATCCTGCATCCCAGGACGGGCTGAGTGCCAGGGCTGGGCTTAACAGCCCCATTTCTTCATCCCAGGGTCACCCATCCGCATTGGCGCTGCCACCTTCCCAATGATTTTGGGGTGATTTCGGCTCCCCCACCTCCCCAGGGCTGGGATAAGATGCTCATTGCGAGGATCGAGTGCTGGGTTAATCCTGCACCCCCTTCGAGGTGCGGGGAGCTGCTGTGGGCAGGATAGGTCCCGCCGGCATGGAGGAGCTCCACCTCCCCGCAGGTGCCACCTCCCTCGGGGACATTATAAAGGACGAGCTGTCCCCTGCGCCGTGGCCAGATCCCAGCCCGGAGCGAGCCCGGAGCGGGGACCCTGCCAGGGTAAGAGACCTGGGGAAGGGGTAGGGAAAAGGGTTGGGATAACGGTACCCCCAATTTGGGGGGTGATGGTGGAATAACAGGGGGCTGGTCCTGCCTATCGGTGTCTGGAGGGGACCAATTCCGTGAGCCATGGGAGGGAAAGATGAGACCAGCCCTGGGGGGTTGTATGATGCTGGGAACCCAAACCTTTCCGCTCTTGGGGTTTTTTGGGGTGGTTTTCCTTACTTTTTATCATTTTTAGTAGATGTGTTTTTTTTTGTGGCTTGAAGCCTCCTGTCGTGCCGGTTCCTGAAGGCAACGGGACCCCGAATCTGCCCCAAAGAGGTGTCTTGGCCAAAAGGTAACACGATGGTGGCACCTCCCAGGGCATGATGCCCCAATCTCCAGGGGCTGGGGGTGCTGGGAGGCTCAGCACCCATGGGTGCTGCCGGA